GCTGACCTTTTGGTTAATAGCCAAGCTCTTAACCACTGCACCACCAGGGCTGCTTAGGTAAGCAAAAGTCTACAGATATCCTAAGGAAAGATAACTTTCAGGGAAGAACACGACATATACCTAAGAAATTTTTTAGCAGCTCCAGAACCCAGACATATCACAGAAGCAACAAAAGCATGACATGAATTCATGTGTAAAAAAGTCAAATCTTTACTAAAATTTGAGACCACTTAAAAATTCATTCTCATACACTTTTGAAAAAAGGTAACATTTTTAGCAGCACTAACTCACTGTACTAAGATCTTTGCATATAGTGAATTTTCGCCAAATTTTGATTAAGGCTCAATTTCAAAGAAAAATGTTTTTTCAGAAACCATTATAAAAAAATAAATTTTATTTTGTTTTGTTTTTTTAATTGTTGTAGTTTAAATGCAAGTTTACAATTCAAGTTAGTCTCTCATACAAAAATTTATACATACATTGTTATGTGACCCCAATTGCTCTCCCTATACTATGACAGCACACTCCTCCTTTCCACCCCTCATTTCCCATGTACATTCAACCAGCTCCTGACCCTCTCTGACTTCTCATCTCACCTCCAGACAGAAGCTGCCCATTTAGTCTCATGTATCTACTTGAGCTAAGAAGCACACTCTTCACGAGTATCATTTTATGTCCCACAGTCCAGTCTAATCTTTGTCTGAAGAGTTGGCCTCAGGAATGGTTTTAGTTCTGGGTTGACAGAGTCCAGGGGCCATGCTTTCTGGAGTTCCTCCAGTCTCAGTCAGACCACTAAGTCTGGTCTTTTTACTAGAATTTGAGTTCTACACCCCACCTTAAAAAATAAATTTTAATAAAGAATAATATGGCATGGGAATTTTCCTTTTAAATGACTATACTAAATGACAAAATCCTACCTGGAAATAAGTTAAACGTTCATAGTAATGTTTGTTAGCATCAAGGAGAAAAACAAAAAATAAATATTAATTTTTTAAGCCAAAAAATAATAAAAAATACACACAAAAGATTTTTAATTAATTTCACCAAATATTTTTAAAAGCTCTACAATAACTCTCCCAGAAAATATCAACTGCCAGTGTAGCTTCTCATTCTCATCTCACCTTCTTCTCCGATTTCCATTGTTTCCTGACGGCTTTGTTATCTGAGTAGACACAATCTGACAGTGGACAGTTCCCATGAGGAGCATAAGGCACAAGGGTCCAAGCACTTCACTTACGTTCACAAGAGGCATCATTACGTATAACACAATTGCAATCACTGAAAAGGAGAAGTTTTAAAATATAAAACACTAGAGCTCGTCTTTACACTGATTCTAGTAACTAAACAAATTATATCTACAAAAATCTGTCACTTTAAAAAGTACATAAGCAGAGTGAAAACTTGACACCCTAGATCACAGACCAAATGAAAATGATACGTTACAAGGATTTGCCTTTCTGGCATTATGGTAATCTAGATATTCCAACAGGCTTTCCACAATAAAACAACTACATGCTGTATAAAACATACACTTTGAAGTGTTGTTCTGCTCTGAGGAAGAGTATTTTCCAAGGCTCAAGGTAACACAGGTAGTGATTGGCAAATCTGGGATTTGAAGCCAGGAAGTCAGGCTCCAGAGTCCTCCCTCTTAACCCTATGCTGTAGCGCCTCTTTTTATACATATATGAAATGTTTAAATAAATAAGTGATGAAAGAAATTTTTTAAATATCAAAACTTATCTCCGAAAATTTCCATATATCTCAGATGATTTTATAGATGGTTCTTTCACACTTTAACATAAAGATAATTCTTGTGCTATATAACTGAACTATTCCTGTGTAGAGAAAAAAATAGAAAGCTATCAAATTCATTTTATTCCCAATATAACCATGATATTCAAATGTAACAAGAGCACCAAAACAATAAACTACAAACCTTGCTGACTTGTGAGTATGGATATAAATTTACCACTAAAAAGAATGTGCCAAGAAAGCAGGGAGTTTTGTCAGTTTTGTTCACTGACATACATACATAGGGTAATAGCTGGCACAGAGTAGGCACTCAATATTTGTTGAATGAATGAATACGGTATCAAATTGAATTTTTGACGAAAAGTAATTCACTTGTATGTCAATTTGTCATACTGTGGTGGCTTATGTGTTGCTGTGATGCTGGACACTATGCCACTGGTATTTAAATACCAACAGGGTCACCCATGGTGGACACGTTTAAGCTGAGCTTCCAGAGTAAGACAGACTAGGAAGAAGGACCTGGCGATCTACTTCTGTAAAAAAACTGGCCAGTGAAAACCTTATGAATAGCAGCAGAACACTGTCTGATATAATGCCAGAAGATGAGCCCCTTAGGTTGGAAGGCACTCAAAATATGACTGGAGAAGAGCTGCCTCCTCAAAGTAGAGTCAACCTTAATCATGTGGATAAGGTCAAGCTTTCGGGAATTTCATTTGCTGATGTGGCATGACTCAAAATGAGAAGAAACAGCTACAAACATACATTAATAAACAGAATGTGGAATGTATGAAGTATGAGTCTAGGAAAATTGGAAGTTGTCAAAAATGAAATGGAATGCATAACGATCAGTATCCTTGGCATTAGTGAGCTGAAATGGACTGGTACAGGACATTCTGAATCAGGCAGTCATATGGTCTACTATGCCAGGAATAACAAATTGAAGAGGAATGACATCACATTCATTGTCAAAAAGAACATTTCAAGATCTACCCTGAAGTACAACGCTGTCAGTGATAGGATAATATCCATACGCCTACAAAGAAGACCAGTTAATATGACTATTATTCAAATTTATGCACCAACCACTACAACCAAAGATGAAGAAATTGAAGATTTTTACAAACTTCTGCAGTCTGAAATTGATCACACATGCAATCAAGATGCATTGATAATTACTGGTGAGTGGAATGCAAAAGCTGGACACAAAGAAGGATCAGTAGTTATAAAATGTGGTCTTGATGATAGAAATGACGCTGGAGATGGCAGGATACAATTTTGCATGACCAACGACTTATCCATTGCAAATGATTTTTCAACATCATAAAACACAACTATACATGTGGACCTCTCCAGATGAAATACACAGAAATCAGCTCGACTACATCTGTGGAAAGAGATGACAGAGAAGCTCAGTATCGTCAGTCAAAACAAAGCCAGAGGTCAACGGCAAAACAGACCATCAATTGCTCATATGCAACTTCAAGTTGAAACTGATGAAAATTAGAGCAAGTCCACGAGAGCCAAAGTGTGACCTTGAGTACATCCCACCTGAATTTAGAGACCATTTCAAGAATAGATTTGACGCATTGAATACTAATGACCAAAGACCAGACGAGTTGTGGAATGATATCAAGGACATCATACATGTCCTTGCAAAGGTCATTAAAAAGCAAGAGGTCATTAAAAAAGACAGAAAAGAAAGAAAAGACTAAAATGGATGTCAGAAGAGACTCCGAAACTTGCTCTTGAACTTAGAGCAGCTAAAGTCAACAGAAGAAATGATGAAGAAAAAGAGCTGAACGGAACATTTCAAAGGGTGGCTCAAGAAGACAAAGTAAAGTATTAAAATGACATGTGCAAAAACTAAAAGGTAAGAACATGCTCAGCATTTCTCAAGCTGAAAGAACTGAAGAAAAAATTCAAGCCTCAAGTTGCAATACTGAAGGATTCTACAGGAAAAATATTGAATGATGCAGGAAGCATCAAAAGATGATGGAAGGAAGACACAGAGTCACTGTACCAAAAAGAATAGATCAGCGTTCAATCATTTCAGGAGAGAGCATATGATCAAGAACCAATGGTACTGAAGGAAGAAGTCCAGGCTGCACTGAAGGCACTGGCAAAAAACAAGGCCCCAGGAATTGACAGAATACCGATTGAGGGGTTTCAACAAACAGATGCAGTACTGGAGGTGCTCGCTCGCCTATGCCAAGAAATTTAGAAGACAGCTACCTGGCGAGCCTAGTTGAGATCCGTATTTGTGCCTATTCCAAAGAAAGGAGATGCAACAGAATGAGGAAATTATTGAATAATATCATTAATATCACACACAAGTAAAATTTTGCTGAAGATCATTCAAAAGCAACTTCAGCAGTCCATGGACAGGGAACTGCCTGAAATTCAAGCCAGATTCAGAAGAGGAGGCGGAACAAGAGATATCATTGGCAATGTCTGCTAGATCTTTGCTGAAAGCAGAGAATACCAGAAAGATGTCTACCTGTGTTTTATTGACTATGCAAAGGCATTCAACTGTGTGGATGATAACAAATTATGGATAACACTGTGAAGCACAGGAATTCTAGAACACTTAAATGTGCTCATAAGGACATAGACCAAAAGGCAGTTGTTCAAACAGAACAAGGGGATACTGCGTGATTTAATATCAGGAAAGGTGTGCGTTAGGGTTGTATCCTTTCACCATATTTATTCAATCTGTATGCTGAACAAGTAATCTGAGAAGCTGGACTATATGAAGAATGTGGCATCAGGATAGCAGGAAGACTCATTAACAACCTGTGATAGGCAGACGACACAACCTTGCTTGCTGAAAGTGAAGAGGACTTGAAGCACATACTGATGAAGATCAAAGACTACAGCCTTCAGTATGGATTAAACCTCAACATAAAGAAAATAAAAATCTTCACAACTGGACCAATAAGCAACATCATGATAAATGGAGAAAAGACTGAAGTTGTCAACGATTTCATTTTACTTGGATCCACTATCAATCCCCATGGAAGCAGCAGTCAAGAAATCAAAAGATGTATTGCACTGGGCAAATCTGTTGCAAAAGACCTCTTTCAAGTGTTAAAAAGTAAAAATGTCACTTTAAGGACTAAGGTACACCTGACCCAAGCCATGGTATTTTAAATCGCCTCATATGCACACAAAAGCTGGGCAATGAATAAGGAAGACTGAAGAATTGACAACTTTGGATTATGGTGTTGGCAAAGAATACTGAATATATAATGGACTGCCAGAAGAATGAACAAGTCTGTCTTGGAAGAAGTACAGCCAGAGTGCTCCTTAGAAGCAAGGATGGTAAGACTTTGTCTCATGTACTCTGGACATGTTATCAGGAGGGACCAGTCCCTGGAGAAGGACATCATGCTTAGTAAAGTAGAGGATCAGTGAAAAAGAGGAAGACCTCAATGAGATGGACTGACACAGTGGCTGCAACAATGGGGTCAAGCTTAGCAATGATTATAAGGATGGCACAGGACAGAGCAGTGTTTCGTATTGTTGTATATAGGGTCACTACGGGTCAGAACCTACTTGAGGGCATCTAACAACAATTCACTAAGACCATATAGGGCTCAGGCCAGAAATGCCAGGATAGAAAATCTATCTCAGAGCTGAGAAGAGTACTTGGCACAGTATATGGCACAGACTTAAGTATTTGTTGACTAAATTAATTCAATAATTTAATACATATAATTTTTACCACATCTATACAAATAATCTCAAATAATAAAAGGCATTCCATAATAATCAATATTTGTTCCTGATTTGTAATTAATCTTAAATGCTAATGTCTTCTAAATACTACAATAGAAAAATATTTCCTTAACATGCTAAAGAATATATAGGTAAAATCAACGCACATTGTATCAATGAAGACACTTTGAGAATCAGGAACTAGATAAGGACGACAACTCTTACTGTCTTCATTATCTAGTGGTGCTATAACAGAAATATCACCAGTGGATGGCTTTCACAAACATAACTTTATTCTCTCACAGTCTAGTAGGCTAGAAGTCCAAATTCGGCGCGCCATCTCCAGCGGAAGGCTTTCTCTCTGTCAGCTCTGGAGGGAAGGTCCTTGTCATCATCAGTCTTCCCCTGGTCTAGGAGTGTCTCAGGGCGGGGACTCACCCAATATTAGGAATCATGGCCTAGCCAAATTGATACACATATTTTTGGGGGACACAATTTAATCCATGACATTTACTGTTACTACTTAACACTACTCTGAAAATGTTGCCTAATTCAATAAAAATAAATGAAATGAAATGAAAAGGAAGGGACCAAATTTTTACTATTTGCCAACAATATGACTGTATAATTAAAAAATCTAAGAGAGGTACTGAAAAACTATTAGAATTAATGAGAGAGAGTTTAATAAAGTGGCAGTTTATAATAATTTTAAGTATAAGCTAATAGCTTTCAAATGTAACAGCACTAACCAGTTAAAATTGGTAAAACAAACAAAATAAAGTCTCATATCTGCAATACCACCAGCAAAAACAAAATATTTGAGTTTAATTTTAGTAAGATCCAAGCAGGACTTATAAGAAGAAGAAGAAAAAAAATCCTACAAAGCTTTACAGGTGAGAGATAGAACAGAAGATTTGACTAAAAAAGAAATATATCATGTTCCTCTATAGGAAAATGAATATTATAAAAAAAGTCAATTTTCTCCCTCAAAAATACATCATTATCTATATCTGAGGAGGTGACAAAATTCCAATCCAAATCCCAGTTTGCTTTGTTTTGTTTTTAGGTTTTTTGGAACGTGATAAAATAATTCTAAAATACTTTGGAAAGGCTAAACAGGCAAGAGTAAGCAAATGTTGAGAAAGCAGACTAGGGGAATATCTGTCCTGTTCAGTGTTAATACATACTAAAAAGCTATAGTAATTAAAGCAATGTAGTACGGGTTGCTATGAGTTGTAACCAACTCGACGGCACCTGACAACAACAGCAACAACAGTATGGATATAAAAATAAACAAACAAATCAATGGTATAGAATACGAATACCAGAACCAGAGCATGGTGTATATGAAAATTGAAAATATATCATTTAATATATATCAACAAGGAAATTTCTCCTAAATTCTTAAACAACAAACGTAAGGAAAAATATTACACTTCACCCTCACAAATGACCAAAGAAATACACACTAAACAAGCAAAATACTTTTTCTAACATATCAAATTAGGTATCAATTTTTTAAATCATAATACTCAATATCAGTAATAAAACAGGCATTCTGATCCACTGCTTTCCAAAAGAATTGTGCTACCAGTAATTTTACTATATATACTAAAGGCCTTAAAATGTTTACATTTTTTAATCTTTTAATTCTATTTCAAAGAATAAATCCTAAAGAAATAATATAAAATGCAGAAAATTCTGCTCATTATGGCATTATTAATAGAAATAGTCTAAATGCCCACAATATGATAATATTTATGTGAATTATGGTACTCTTATATAACAGAATATTAAGCAGCTATTAAAAGGTGTTCATGGTATATCCATATGCTAAACTCCTACACAGACATTAAAACGATGGGCAATGGGGATACAGTGGCAAACAGAACATACTGGGTCTCTGCACACAGATGGGGGAGAAAAAAAAAACATCAGGTAGGGATGTGTAAATGCAGAAATTACAACAGATATGATGAAATATTATGCAGCCATTAAAATGATAGTGATGAAGGCTTTTGCTAAAATGGAGAAAACCTCATTATAATGAAAAGTCCCAGTAAAATAATGCTATACTTTCCCTGTCTTTATGGTAGCCACTATCCACATGTGGCTATTTAAATTTAATTAAAATTAAATAAAATTTAAAATTCAGGTCCTTATTCACACTAACCACATTTCAAGTACTCAATAGCCACATGTATCTAGTAACTACTGTATTGGGTCATGTAAACATAGAACATTTCCATCATCACAAAAATTCTATTGGATAGCACTGTCACAACGTTAAAAGACTAAATTCATGAATTTAAATTCATAGATGTATTTTTCACTCTACAATATAAAAAGTACCAAAAAATCTGATACAGATAAAACAAAATCACCCATGATCCTTTCATCCTAACTCAACCTTCTCCTACTCTTTGTTCTAACTCATGTCTTCTTGCATACATGTAATCATGGGATGTAATTATACGTTAAGCGCTCGGCTGCTAAAGAAAAGGTCAGCAGTTCGAACACACCCAGCAGCTCCATCAGACAAAGACCTGGTGATCTACTCCCCTAAAGATCATAGCCTAGAAAACCCTATGGGGCAGTTCTACGCTGTCACATGGGGTAGCTATGAGTTGAAATCAACTTGACAGCACCTAACAACAATCATAGGATACACTGCCCCCTTTCAGAAGGTATTCCTGATAGGCAATGGGGATGCAGTGGTAAAAAAATATATATATACTGGGTTCCTACACACAGGGAGAGGGAGAAAAAAACATCAGGTAGTGATGCATAATGCAGAAATTAAAATAAGATTGATCTGATAGTGACTAGGGTGGACTATTTAGAAAGTATAGATAGGGATGACCTCTCTATGAAAGCTACATCTTAGCTAAGGTCTTAAAGATGAGAAAATAGCTAGCTGTGCGAAAAGCCTTAAGAATAGTCCAAGCAAAAAGGAAAGCTCTGTGTGAGGAACAGAAAAAAGCCTGTTATACCTAGACTGAACAAGGAAGAGCGTGGTAACAGATGGTAGGAGATGAGGTCTGAGAGATGAGCTGGGAACAGATCAGCTGGGGCACTGTAGGTCATGGTAAGAAGTTCGGATTTTTATTATAAGGGCAATAGGAAGCCATTAAACGGTTTTAAGCAGAAGAATGACACAATATGGTTTCTGTTTCTAAAAGATATTTCTAGTTGCTATGAAAAGAATGGTTGGAAAAAGCAGGCTCAGAGTAGATGTTATTCCAGTGGTCTAGGAAGAGATGCTGGTGGTCTGGACTATGATGGTGGCAGTAGAGTCTGAGATAAATAGAGTCAAGACACATTTTGGAGGCAGAACTGATAAGACTTGGTGACATATTAGAAGTGAGAGTTGACAGTAGAGTAGATGACTTCATTTTTCACTTGAAAACTGGGTCATTGATAGTGTCACTTAATGAAATGGAAAGACCTAAAGAGGAACAAGTTTATACATAAAAATAGCAAGAGTTCCATTGTGGACATTCACGGCTATCTATTAAATCTCCATATGGAAATGTCAAGTAGGCGGTTAGAATTACAAGTCTGAAGTTCAGCAGAGAGATATGGCCTAAAGATATAAATCTGAGAATCACCAGTTTATCAGTGACATTTAAAGCAATGAGGTTTTATGAGATTACCTAGGAAAGAGAAGAGGGCTCAAGATCCAACCTTGAGGCAATCTAATATTCAAAGGTCAGAGAGAAGAAAAGACTGAGAAGGTCTTTGAGGCAGGTGAGCCAGGTGGAAAGAAATTCAAGATAGGAGGGGGAGTAGACAATTGTGTTGAACCACTACTATGTTCTCTCAGAGCAAATAAAGACAAACCCCATATGCTATGTGCTCCTTCATTTCTTTGTACTTTAAACCATCAAATGAAAGAGTAAATGTAAGAACAGTAAAGTCTTCAATAACTGATAGCAAAAGCAGCAAAAAGAAACTGGCATAGCTTATTTCAGCTCCTCCAATTACCTTGCATGAGGTAAAGCAGTAATAGCCAAATAAAGATTCTTTGAGAGGTAACCTGAATCCACCAACTGCTGAACAATGGAAAAAACACAACTCGAACAAGCCCCTTCCGAGTTAGAGATGTCCATGGGATTTCAGGTTTGGCTTTGGCAAATGTTGAGCCTTTAAAGACACAAAAAACAAAACATCAAATATTTATGTACACTATACTGATGCCTACTTGTCACAATATATTAAAAACAAGTGAGAGCAAAAATTAGAACACAATCTGTTCAGTGAAGAGAAATTCTTTTGGGTATTTGTTAAATGCAATAGCTTCTTTCCTCAATCACTACGGCAGGAGCTCAAAATAAGTCAAGCTCACTTTAACGTTATACAATATATTTTTCTTAATTACACAACAGCAGGTTGCCAAGTTTATCTGCCTTTCACCGTTATAAAGACCGTGTAACTTATATAGCCACACAGTACTAAGGCAAAGGGGAAAAAATGCTAAAGCCTGGATGATGAAGACTGTGAAATCATTGTCAGAAAGATAAGGGAAGAACGTGACTTTCAAAAATTAAAGTACACCATCGTCTAGGAAAGATATCTAAAAACTTTTTTAAATCTTTAGTACTATTTAATAATAATACTATTAAATAATGTAGTACTATACATGAGAAACAAGCCAATTTTACAACTCACCTCTGATTAAGTCAACATCAATCAAGTCTGGCTTTATGTGACCCATCTTTTTTGGTTTGTTTTTGAAGCCCTAGGATAAAACAAACAAAGAGGAAAAAAAGCCCTTTTAAATATAAAAGACACAGGAACATTTCTTTTTCACTATAACTGACTCCCTTTTACTAGGGATATTTTAATCCTAATGCTCACCACTATGTAGACATAGTGCCTCGCCTACTACCTGACACGTGGTACGGAGGTGCTCAACAAATATTTGTTAAATACATAATGGCTTCTTTAATTTTTGGTATTTCCTTCCCTGCTTTACTTCGACTTATTCCTGTTTTCTTTCTCTGATTCTTCATATATTAACTTGATTCACCATAAGGATAAGGAAACCAAAATTCACTGAAAGGGAAACAGGCTTTGCGAGGCTGAACATGAGCACCCTCATTTGGTTCGCTAGTTCACTACAGTTGAAAAGTCATCCTTATGTAAGTCCCTGGCACGTAGCCACTGTTGTCCACTGCTATTATAAAACCTCTGCCCTCCCATTGTGGGGCACAGAGATTTGTTTTGGTCCTTTGGCCACCCAGGACTGCCTCGTATATAAATATCCCCAATAAACTCCTTTGCCACCACACTGAAGCTGCCCGCCTCTTTCTTCGGTCTCTCGGTATCCTCCATTTTTGGAGGCAAGTTTCACATTACTGGTCCGTGCCTGAACAACTGGCAAGCCAGCCAGGAGACTGAAGAAATGGTGAGTGGTAGTGAGGTCTCTGCAGGGGAAATCCTGAGTTGGCCAGCAACTCCCATGTGGAGAGGTCTGGCCCGTATGCTTTTCTGTGGGGGAAATCCCAGGTTGGCCAGCAACCCCCAGGTGGGGAGGTCTGACCCGTATGCTTGATGTGTGTGGACTGCCGCGTGAGTACAGGGACACCCTGAAAACGTCAAGCAGATAGCCTAGCTGTGGACAGATGCATGCCTTCATCAGTGTGGAAAGGAAGCTAGCAGAGCAGTAGCAGCTGTGGAATGGCCACTGCTCTGGGCCATTTGGCTGGCCACCGAAGTCTAGCTAGCTGCTGAAGGGTGCATGAGAGCCTTGCAGAAAGAGTTGAAGTTAGAAAGAGATATGCAGCAGACATGTGTTGCTACATCTGACGTACTGAGCAGCAACGTCCGTGAACAGGATGAGCAACTAAAAACGCTCACCTGCAGATTTGTAAAGATGGGAGATTCAAGGACTAGGAGAACAATCCCCTAGTAACTGCTCAAAGCCCTCCAACAATGAGACTGGAGAGAGTTGGAGGCGCTAAGTAGGTCCCTGGCACTGAGAACACCCTGTAACAACCAGCACAAAGCAAGAGTTAAAATAGCAGAAAAAAAAATGGGGATAGCCAAAACAGGACTAATGAGGCACAGCAGTCCAGGAACAAGGACTAGAAGGCAGAAGGGGACAGGAAAGCTGGTGATAGGGAACCCAAGGTTGAGTAAGGACAGTGTTGACGTGTAGTGGGGTTGTTAAGCATTTGTCATAGGGCAACATGTGTACTGTTTAATGAGAAACTATTTCGTTCTGTAAACCTTCACCTAAAGTGAGAAGAGCAGCACAACTCAAGAGCATAGTCAATGTCACTGAACTGTGCATGTAGAAATTTTTGAAATGGTGTATCTTTGGCTATGTATATTTTCACCAAAAAAAAAAAGATCGAGAAGGGAGAGGGTTGTTAACCAATGTTATAAAACAGTATGTGTACTACTGTTTAATGAGAAACTATTTGTTCTGTAAACCTTCACCTGAAGTACAATAAACATTAACTAAAAAAAACAAAAAAAAGGGGATAACTGGTGTTGAGCAGCCTTGAAGAGACCTTAGAGGCCCTCTCTGGAATTCTCTGATAACTGTCCCTGCCAGGATAATTAAGCAGCAACGTAGTCACAGCTGCAACAGAGGGCCTGCCTCCATGTCACCAGGCAACTGGGCTGAACCCATGCTTGCACTTGGTATGGTAGAGGCATGGCTCCACAAATGACTGAGGGTTCTGCCAACTCTGCCCAGATCTTCTGACTTGCAGAAATAATTAAGACTGAAGATTAAGCCTAGGTCCTTCTGTCCTCCCTGGTGGGGAGGGAGGACCAAAGGCCTTATGTTACAATTAAAGTTCAATGAGGAAAGGAAAAGAATTCTATGTCTTGGGTTTTTAGATACCATTGCACAGGTGACTGATCTCTGTAACACCTGTCACCAAAATGAGGAAAACTTTTGAGTCTGAGGTCACCATCATTGAGACCCTTGCCCAAGTCTGATTATAGATAAGGCCTTTGGGTTTATCCTGACTATGGATAAACCCCTATTGTATGTATTGATAATGTTGATGTATTAATGTACACTTCTGTAAACTTTCACCTCCAAGCCCTGACAGGAACTGCTGCCATTAGGGCCATTTTTAGTGGGGCACATGGACACTGTGACATGGGCTATAGCTAATAGCCTGGCCATTCAATCTATCCACTGACAGCCCTCAGACTGACATATAAAGCAAGCCCCTATGGGGATGAGACATCTGGACAAAAAAAAAAAATCAGTTCTGCTCTTGATAAGCTTTTGTTACTTATGTGGATGGTCACCAGAAAGGCCTCTATGCTGACAGGAGAAAACAACCAATGAGCAGACCACTCTTGCCAAATGATCGCAGAGGCTGAAGCATCCTCTGCTCCAGAGCAAAGAGATGTGCAACCGACCACCTCCTGGATTTAAGAGAGGATGGCCCACGGACATTCACACACCATCCTAGATTGAGCCTACACACATGGACTGTCACTGTCATCAGAAAACACTGAACAGCATAGAAAAGCTGACCTGCCTGCAAGACCCTGGCCAAGGCTAAAACCTGCCCAGGGACAGATTCCCAAGCCAACAGTCCAGGGCATTCTCAGCAGGTAAATCATATCAGGGCCTCTTATTCTATACAGAGGCTTCCACTGGATCTTGAATGAACTCTTCATGTTCTGTATCACCCCCAAGCTACAGGGGTGATTGAGCACTTCAATGGACAGGCTTATACGGCTGATGCGAGGGGACAAGACAACCCCAGCCTGAACAATACATCTCAGGCAAGCAGTCTAGGGTCTCAATGCAGCAGTTCCCTGTAAGGGCATTTCTCATTTGTGCCATATGTTTAATCAAACTGTCTATTCTATAAAATGTGTTTCTTCTGTATACAACTATTTCTGACAAAAGATCTGGGTTCTGACAGAGGTCATTGCCTCAAGACTAGGACGGACAGCCTGTCTGGCTATACCTGGGCAATCCACACCTTAAGTACCAAGGGAGATAGGAGAGGGGAGAGGGGAATTGTTAATATTGTCTCTTTTTCTTCCCAGATTATCTCACAGTGATGAACAGGCCCCTCATCCATAGGCCCCAATGATACAGGCTTTTGCTAGAGCTATCAATCAGACGAACTGTTGGCTCTGTCAACATCTGAACCAAGATGTCGAGTCATCTCCCCACATTGTTCTAGCTGATCTGTCAACAAGGAGGACACCCTGTGGACCAAGTGAATGTGTAACCTGGTGTACTAAGGAGATCAGGTGGTAAATGACTACGATCGTCCACTACTCATGGAAAACATCTTTTCAAATATGACAGCTGCCTGCGGGGAGTGCTCCAACTTTGGAAGGAAATTTCTGTGTATTAAAAATGTAAATGGCATGGGACTAGATGGTTTGACATTGAGAACGGTACTTTTAAGACTGAGTTGGACATTATTCTGGACATAGACAACTTACAGAATATGACTGTCATGGATTGAATTATGTCCCCTAAAAAATGTGGGCCATGATTCCTGGTACTGTGTGGTTTTCCCATATGTTGTAAATCCTGCCTCTATGATGTTAATGAGGGAGCATGGGTGGCAGTTGTGTTAGTAAGACAGGACTCAATCTATAAGAATGGATTGTATCCTGAGGCAATCTCTTGAGATATAAAAGACAGAAGTGAGCAGAGAGACAGGGGGACCTCATACCACCAAGAAAGCAGTGCCAGAAGCAGAGTGCGTCCTTTGGACCTGGGGTCCCTGCGTGGAGAAGCTCCTAGTCTGGGGGAACACTGATGAGAAGAAGGCCTACACAGACAGAAAGCCTTCCCCTGGAGCTGATGCCCTGAATTTGGACTTTTAGCCTACTTTACTGTGAGGAAATAAACTTCTCTCTGTTAAAGCCATCCACTTGTGGTATTTCTGTTATAGCAGCACTAGATGTCTAAGACGATGACCAGGGGTCCAATGTACACTGACTGACTATACTAAGTCTGAATTAGCCTGGTCTGGCAATGGTTAATACTTTGTTCAACTGCGCTGAGAAAGACAGCTTTTGTATTACTTGTTCTAAAATGTGTGCTGTTTATATTGTGTCATATTGGGAGAAATATGCTGCTATTACATAAATGAATCAAGACAAGTTACACACACATAAGATTGGACAAATGCAGCCCTGTGACCTACTCAGTTGGCTTGGATTAAGGAACAACTACAGTGGCTGGTTGGGATTTCTCCTCCAAGCAAGCCTGATCAATCTGCTGGGGGCAGCCCTACTACTAGCCCTTATTAAATGCAGCCTCAAATGATGCACAGATATAACATCCAACAGAGTTATGCACCAAACCATGGACATGCAGCTCAATGTCGAAAATGCGTGATGGCATACTGCTTTGATTCTTTTTCTGGCACTCTGATGGGAGTTAGGCGGTAGACTGTTGGGGGAATGGTCTGCCTCTACACCTCCCATCCAGGCTGCCTAAGTAAAGGCCTTGGGCCCAGAATATTCTCTGATAAGGAGGCTGGGAATTGGGTCACCTTCTCTCTGCTAGTTCTTTCTCCTTATCAGAGAAGCCCTCCCCCTATGCTGGGCACACAGTAACCTTCTCTGTCCCTTGCACATACGCAGACACCATACGGCACCTGGCCAACCCCACTCCTATAGCTGTTCCTGGCAGGGAGGGAATGGGGTCTCTTGTACTATGGGACAAGAGGGGAAACATGCCAGACTGTAAGAGCCAGCCTTGAGAGATGTACTGAAGGGGAAACAGGCTTTACGAGCCGAACATGAGCACCCTCATTTTGGTCCACAAGTTCACTACAGTTTGCTAAATCATCCTTATGTAAGTTCCTGGCATGCAGCCACTATTGTTCATCGCCACTATAAAACCTCTGCCCTCCCACTGCAGGGCATGGAGATCTGCTTTGGGTCCTGCGGCTGCCCAGGACTGCAGTGGGAGGGCAGAGGTTTTACAGTGGCGATGTATGTATGTAAGTCTCCCTAATAAACTCCTTTGCCACCACACTGGAGTTGCCCGCCTCTTTCTTCAGTCTCTCGGCACCCTCCATTTTTGGACACAAGTTTCATGTTAATTTTCCATGCCTGGATACCCAGATAAACTACAGTAACTTATTGAAGATGACACGGCTAGAGATGGAATCAAGACTAGATCTAACTCCTAATTCTGTGCTGTTTCCATTATACCATACTTGCTACCAATACTTTTTAGCAGCTCACAAAAGAAAAATAGGACAGGATTTAGAGAATTACAGAATAAAATGTGGGAATTTATTCATCCTAACCCCATCTCCCATTAATATAAATAATCAAGAACTGTACAAAATTTGTGAAAAAGTTAGCCAAGAACCATCTAGTTCAAACAGTTTTCGAGTTGACTGGCCTATAAAAGAAATGCAGTCTAAGAATGCTGGTTAAATGCATTTCACAAAGAGACATAAACATCCAAGTCTAGTCAAAGTGACTTTGAGATTAGGAAAATGAATAGATTAAACTATTAAATTGTATTGCCACCCATATGGAAAAAAAAAGTGTTAATACAAGCTCTGCAGCATATCTCAAAAAAAGAGAGGTCCAAACAGCAAGAATCTGCCAGTATTTATTTAGCACTTTCCAAAGAAGTGAGACTCTGAATCTGTAGATCGAACTATTAAAGTCAATAGAGAGACATACTTTCTTGAAGGGCAGGGTTGATTCTTTAGGCTTTTCCACGTCTCTCAAGACTATCCAATTACATTTGATTACCAAGCAACCTTTACATGACTTAACCCCACATACAGCCTAACCCCATCCAATCCTGAGTTTGGAACACTAGATTATTTAATCCTTCTCCTATTATAAATAAATAAATTGGCATTCTAAATTATACACCGGTTTTTGATTGCTTGATTAGCATGAGATAAACCCCAAGAATCTGCTGAGCTCTAAGAGTAGTGTAAAAAAAAGTTTGAAAGCCCAAAAAACTTAAAACCATACTCTAAACCAGTGACTGAAAAATGGGAGCTTACAGGCTATATTCGGGTCACAAATAGATTTTACTTAGTTTGCACAGCCAAAAAAAAGTCCTTTAAAAAACTCGATATTTCACGTAAAATGCATATTATCAGCTTCTTTTGAAAAATCTGAAGCTCTGGCAATATTAGGCCTGTACTGCCATATGGCAAAAACTGGCCAGAGCTAACTAGCCATTTGGAGTCCCTGGATGGTGCAAACGTTTAAGCACTCAACTACTAACTCAAAGGTTCAAACTCATCCAGACATCCCTCAGAAGAAAAGGCCTGGCAATCTGCCTCAGAAAGGTCACAGCCTTGAAAACCCTATGGAGTGCAGTTCTACTCTGCACACATGGGATCATCATGAGTTGGAATCGACTCAACAGCAACTAGTTTTTGGTTTGGTAATAGCCATTTATATGGAACTTTCACTCTTTATATGGGGCATTTGCTCTCCAGTTCATCATAGTTCCAATCACTCCTATATCCCTAACACTGAGGCCAAATGCCAATTGCCAAATATTATTATGCCTGCACTATTGTTTTTCTTAAACACTTCAAAGAACAAAGAAATGCCATACTTGCTAGACAAGAATTAACAGTGCAAATTTACAAAAAAAAAAAGTATAATACACTCTTCACATTAATGCAATAAAACAAAGCTAGGATCAAAAAAACCAATTTACCTTAATCTGAGTCTGTTCAATTGACTTTTCCCATATCTGTTGATCATATGCTCCAATCTGAAATAAGGAGCAGGCTATTTAAATGATGCAAAGGAAATCCTCATATTTAAGTCATGTCTCACAAAAGTCACAAAACTATTAAGCATCAATATGATACCTGAAAATGTTTTTGCTTCTCAGAGATAGAATAAATTAATATTTCCAAGGACTATTTCCTTCAAAACTCTAAAACAGCAAGATCTAAAACTAAATTAAAAATACTTATGCCCAAAATATTTCATATTAAACACTACCTTAAAAGATATTTCCACTTAAAGAAAACCTCAATAGGAAAACTAAAGAGGAATTCAAAGGCAATGACAGCTCAATAAGATTGCTGACAGTACCAATCTGAGCTGTGCAGACAAAGGTTTCATGTCCTTAAGAAACATCGGTCTGATCAGGAGCAAACTTTCAGAGCTTTGTCCTGGTGTTGAATATGCAGACTGTAGAAGGACTTGAAAATCTTATTCCGGGACCTGGAACTGGGTTTAAAAGACATAATGATCTCGTACATTGGTTTTTCCATTTATGCTGAGAAATACAGTAATACCTGGTGCTACCAAACTCAGGAGAAAGTAACGTGATATTCTTTGTGAACGCTTCTTCGCAGGAACTATATTTTATTAAAAAAAAATTGATATTACCTTCTTTTGGTACCACGATATAGCATCTCTCTCATTCGAGGCCATCTGTATCTCCAGCCAGAGAATGGGATTTCACTGAAAATGAAGGAAAGCCAGTTGGTCAGTCTGGTTGCTGAGGGACTCCCAGTTTGGTTAAGACTGGAAAACCGCTTCTCCCAGCCTCTCCATGAGCTGCTGACTGTGTCTTTCTCCGGCTGTTTGACAGGAAAAAAAAAAAAACAAAAACTGGCGCAGTGGCGACCGGAGAAACCTCTGTGTGATATTTTGTGCGAATGTGTTTCTGGATGCAGGGGAAAGGAACGTGAGGGGAGGTCGCTGAAGTTGACTTCAGCCCCCTCCTCCCCTTCCCGGGGCCCGGCTCTCACCTGGTGGCCGCTGCCCTGCAGTCCGGTGGCCGGGGCCCTTCTCCTCAGTGGCCCCGGCCCGGCCGTGGGACCCCGGGAGAAGCTGCGGGCCCGGCAGGCTGCATCTTTCCCCAGAGGCGGAGACGCCGGCGGGGCCGTTACCATGGAGACGCCGAAGGTCGCCCCAGCTTCTGAAGAAGCCGGCCGCCCAGCGCCCAGAGGAGGGCAGTCTTTTGCCACAGAAATCGCGCCCGCCAAACCCGACTTTGTACAGGGTCACCGAACTGACCATAAAATAAACAAAGAATAAGCTAGAAAAAGAGAGGAGAAAAAGCGAAGGGGGTCTTAGCTAGGCCGCCAGGCGCAACGGCAAAAGGCTTTTGTGCCCCACCGGAAAACGCAGGTGCAAAGGCCCCAGGGCCCGGAAGGCAGCGGCTTGGGAGCAGCGGGACTGTGAGCGGCCGCTCGTCCGCTCTGGGCCTGGCCGGGCCAGGCGGTGACTCAGCGGGCCGACAGCTGGGCGACAGCGGCCCTGCAGACCACCGCGGTGCCCGGCCACGGCTTCCGCTTTCCGGGTTTGGCTGAGAAGGTGGCTCCGCCCTCCGCCCGGGCCTCACTGCAGAGCCTGCGTCCAGGCTCCGGGATGAACGACTCGGAAGCCGCACTGCGATCCATGGCCAAGCGCAGCTCCCAGACTCCTCACATCACTCTTCAGGTCTCAGCTTAAAAGTCATTTTCATTGTAGCACTTATCACTGTTGAGAGGTTTCTTTGTGTTTAATATCGGTCTACCCCAGTGGGCTGTGGGTTAGAGGCTGGGATCTATCTAGCACGAGCCTGGCACATAGGTTCTCAGTATTTGTGAAATGAACGATTGTTCGTGTGAATTCACGCTGTCCTGGGACAAAGGGCTTGGCAGGCTGCGACTTAGTGACTTCCGTCCTTTCTCCTCGCTCAGCAGGTCTGGAACTTAAGCAAGGAAAGAGAAACAAAACCTGACCCAGTCACAGGAACACTTTCCCAAATAAGGCTAGGGGAAGGTGTAGGCGGGAAGAATTGTTTCTAGGTTAAGAATTTAAGCAAGTTGGTAAATGTCAGGAGAAACGCACGGTTGCGCCCCACACTGAATATTTAAGAATATGCTAATACGGTTTTAAAGCCACTTTCCTCCTCCCCTTCAACACGTTTTGCCATTAATGGAGCACTGACGCCTAGTGGCCATTTTCCTCACCTCACCTGAAGCAGTGTTCTGGCTTGCTTGGTAAAGCTAGTAACAGGTAAAGATTATAAGATAGAGAAGCCTTAGAGGTGCGGTAAACATTTCTTATAATCCATTAAGTTGGTGTACGGTGAAAATTCTTTTAGCGATGCGGAAAACCTACTAAGAATATAAAAGTAACTTTACAGGCCTGATTTTTTTTTAATTTCACTTTTTCACCCATACTTGATTTATATCACACACGTTGACGGTGCTTTCCTTTTCTGCTTTTGTTCCTTGACAGCTTTTCCCTTCCCTTAGAGCTAAACATTACAATTCTGTTGGGTTTCAAGACAAATGGCCAGTTTTGGAGGGAGGTGGGGAGACTTGGACAAATGAAAGTCAGTTTTGCTTATCTAAAATACTTGCTTTAAGACAAATTACATTAACAGCAAAAGCATTTTACTTCATTGAACAAGTGCACGAAAGAGGCTTTTGAGAAAGGGAGTGGAGGGAGAGTATCAGTTAAGTTGCAAACCATCTTTCAGAAGCCCTGTTACAAACTTCACTGCATACTGAGGCTGCCACTGAACAAAGCAAGCCTGGGGCTTGAACCCAGACGTACATTCAAATCACTGCTCCCACTTACTAGCTATGTGATCTTAGGCAGGTTATCCAACATACCAAGCCTGTTTCTCACCTGTATTATAGAGGTAATTACCTTCCTAATAAAGCCTTGGGAGAATTTAATGAGATAGCCTCATTTAAAGTGCCTGGCCCATTGCAGTTACACAATGTTAATTCCCTTCCTTTTACTTTCCTAATCAGAACTGAGGGCTGTCAGTAATTAGAACACGTACCTCAATTAAAGAGACTTCACACAAAACCTGATCAGAAAAAACCCATTGTGTGTCACTTAATATATCAATGGCATTAAGGTCTATATGCCATCTTCATTAATACTGCATGCACTTCCAGAAATATCTATGTCACCAGCAAGAAAACTGAAGATTGTTCTCACGAGTAGACGTAAGCCAATTTAAGTAGCAGCAGCAGGCATAACTGCCATAAATGCCAAATGTAATATTTCTTCTTCCCATAAGCTAGTTGCATCTCAGTACTGATTTAATTTTTCCCAGATTATCTATGCCCTTTGGGAAAAAAAAGTCAGAAGAGTTTTCAAAAATATTAGAAAATATTAGGGGATAAGGAGCCCTGGTGGTGCAATGGTTAAGCACTCGGCTGCGAACCAAAAGGTCAGCATTCGAACCTAGGAGTGGCTCCATGGGAGAAAAGACCTGGTGATCTGCTCCTGTAAAGATTACAAACCCTATAGGGCAGTTCTACTCTGTCCTATAGGGTCACTCTAAGTCGGAATCAATTTGACAGCACACAACAACAGAGAGGGGAGGGAATTACTAAACCTCTAAAAACAGTTTCCAGGTATCTAGAATTCACATATATGTGCTATTCATTTTATGATGAAACATCAGTAAAGGACAAATCAGACTTTGTTTATTAAAAAAATACTTTACAGGAAAAAAAAAAACCTCTATGCATTCCATTGTCCTATTTTACAAAGAAATAGCTTAACAATTTAACACACTTAGACAGCTACAAAAAAAGCACTGTGTTAAAAGGATTATTATTCACACAAATTTAAATTTAAGACTATTCATTAAAAACTTTTTTAAAACACTTGTTAATGTCAATAAAACTAAGGCCACACAACGCAAATAGTCCACCAGGCAAATTATACATTTCATCTATATGCAAAGACCTCTTAGATAAATTAAAGCCACGGGAAAAAAAGTCTTAGCTGCCAATCAAAATGGAGTTTAGTCACAGAAAACACTATTACATGAAAATTTACAACATGTGATAGAAGTATACATAAGTATTTTAGAGAGAATTGAAAGTGCTATATTAAGAGACAGTGGTCTCCTCAACTACATGCACAAGTGGATCCTAAAAAAATATGAAGAAAATGGAAGGCCATAATATTTATGGAGAGATACTTGCTTTTAAAGCAACAAACTTTCAGGATGAGGACAGGTCCCTTAGGTGCTAAAGAAAAAAATGTGTCTTGTGCATTTCCACTATCTACTGCATGACCAATAAATACAGATACAACCTGTTTCAAAAAAAATACAATTCAGCAAAAAGGTGAACTTCTGACATGTGCTAGTGAAAGGTTCTTTTTTTGTAACCTGTAGCATTGATAAAATAGACTCAATTATCCTAAAGGTATAAATGCAAATTAAATTTTTAATGGCAAATACAGATGAAAATTTTATGGGCTAGTATTGATGATCAAGAATATATTCACCAAGGGTTTTCTTGGATTTGGGAGTCTTGTTCCTATATTAGCTTGCATTCTAGACAGAAATATTTATATAGGGAAAGGCAATAAGTAAGTTTCCCCAGGGATTGTTAGTGTGAACTTTATGCCTATTAAGACTGAGGCAAGACATCTTTTCCTAAGGTTTAGTAAAGAATTTTATTTAGTAAGCTCCTTTTTCCCCCTACAAGTGGTTGTAATATTAGTCAACTGACGTTCCAACTGTCTCTAAGAGGAAAGGGCACTTTTCAAAAGTCTTTAATTAAAAACAATAAAGTACCAGTTAAATTCTAAGTTATGAATAAGCAAATTAAAAGTACAATGACACCTAGGAGTTCATATTTAAAGAGTTAAAACTTTGGAGGGGGAACTAATATGTAGGTTTTTATTATTGCTTTATGAATTTGGGATACCTTTGAATCATAATCCTACTCCTAGCATATCCTGGTAATTACAGAATGACCTCTGGGGCTGGGGGGGAAGACTTTTTTAATGGATACCATAAAATCATTCTACTTACTAAGTTAGGAATATTCATTTATTGGGTCCTTTCCGTAAGAACATTTTAAAAATATCCCTCTGCTCCACAAAATACTAAAACTTATAGCCACATTCTGCAAGTAATCTCAGAGTTGGCACAACAGATAATATATCAAAAAGGAAGATCAGCTTAAATTTCAGTTACAACTTCACTGCCATCACTACTTTACAAATCAGAAGATGCCAGATTGCTCCATGCCTCACTCCACCAAACCAAATAATTTAATGATTTAGAAAAGTTGCAGTCATTTGTATCACTAAACTAGGATACAGCTTTGAAAGCAGTAAGAAACTCAAAATTGCCACTTTTTATATTCATCAGTCGTTAAAGCATGCTATTAAAATCTAATACTTACATAGGACATTCAGTGTTTCCAGATACATTACTAGCTAAATGTTTCTCTCTCCATTCTACTGCAATTCTAACATACAATGAATTTATTAGTACATGATTTTAAACATTATTATACTCCTTTAATGTGTTTATATTGGAGGTGAGGGTAGAATGTTTTATAAAAGGAAAATGGGGATTAGCATTTGATTGTAAGGTCTTTGCAGATCCGCTGGTTCCTGAGTGATTATACACAGTGCTGGCTGTCAGGAGACAGTCTCCTTGTTTATTAGCAATAACCAGCTTAGATGACAGATGGCATCTGCTGGATGGCAAGTGGGAGATGGGGGAATTGGATCTTGGAAGACAAGAAAAAGAAAAATAAAAAAAGTTTTTGCTTTAACAACCTTGCTCTTCATGATTATTTCAAAAAGCAAATGTTGCCTGAGAAGAATTTTACTTTGTACAGCCTGGTAAAGCTCTATGAAATTCTTCTGAACAGAAAAAACAAAAACAAGAAATAACCCAAACCACACACTTTGTGATTAATCCCTTCCCCCCTACCCAAACTTAAAAAAAAAAAAAAAAAAACCCCTCAAAGGCAGGTCCCTTAAAAACTAGTCTTGATAAACTAGAATTTACCCCAGAATTTATACCCAAGATTTAAAAACACCCCTGCAATAATCACATTACCTTTCATACCATTCTAATTACCTTATTTACAAAGATAACTAAAACCAACATCACTTCCAATTCATAAATGGTTTACATTGAAATGTGTTTCTCTATTTGTCTTCATTCTTTGTAACAAAGAATACATACATATACATATATATAAGGAATAATACAGATTCTAACTAATCACTGCAGTATTTGCTGATGGTTACTTTTCTATCGGTTTACAGTGACCTCTATACTTTGCTAATATGCATTTAACTACACAACAATATTGCACAAAGTAATATTTATATAAGATTTAACCTATTTCAGAATCTTTTAGAGAAAATTCATATTTGATATTTCAAAAGA